CCTTATCTCATTCTCTCTCTTTCTCTCTCTCTCTGACTCTGTCCCTCCCCACCCCTCACCTCTGTTCCCGTCCTCTCTGTTCATGCCCCATCTCTCTTTCCATGTTCCTGCCAATTTCCCTCTCTGATTCCACTCTCTCCACCTCCACCTCCCACTCTCTCTCCCTCTGCTCCTGCATTCCATCCCCCTCTCCTCCACACCTCACATCCTTCCTCTCTTTGCCCTCCTCTGTTCCCTTCTGCTCCCCTGGCCACCCTTTGCCTCCCTGCCTCCATTTCCCTCTACTCTGCTTTCTACTCTTTCCCTCCCTCTCTACTCCTCCTCTCCTTACTCTCCACCCCTCTCAGAGTTCTGTTGTCCCACATGGTAACTTTATTCTAGGTCAGGCTCTCTTCTACGGCGACCTCCCTGCAGCTCCAGACTTACATTGTCCCGCTTAGACCTCTCAGTGTAAAAAGGGTTTCTCTTTCACAATAGTTTCAGCAAAAAGTCCCGGGATCGCCTCTCATTTGCTGATACAGGGCCAGAATATGCTGACAGGCCTTAGAGCTGAGGATGGGTGGTAATATTCCATGTGGCCTGAAGTTCAGGAAAATCAAGGTGCTAGAGAAGGGGAATTGGGGATTGGATTCAGAAGAAAGAAGAAAGGGTATTGGATCCTAGGCAGGCAAAATATAAGGTCCATTACTATTCCTATTGATCAGTCTACTGACTACTTTTCTACAGGAAAATGTCATTAATAATAACCCAAATTTAAAAGGCTGTCTGAGTAGTATCCCATTGTGTGTGCCATATATATATATACAGAGAGAGAGAGAGAGAGAGATACACACACAAACTACCTCTTCAACAGGATGCAGTCTATACAGAAGACAAAATGTAATGATGCCACCTGAAATTTAGATAAGGTTATAAACCAATGTTACTTCAATAAAAAAAAGCTGTAACAAAAGACTCCCCCAAATCTCAGTAAGATACAAAATAAAGGTTTATTTCTCACTTAGCTGCAGTCCAGTGTAGGTGGTGCTACCTTCCATGAGGCTTCCCTCAGTGTGACGATGTAGTGATTTTGTGTCTTATGGTGCTGCTGTCCTGAAGGCCTTCACTTCCAGTTGCACGAATGGGAGGGAAAGAGTGTAAAACACACAGGGTTTTATGGCCACACTCAGGGTGTACAGAATTTCTGCCCATATCCCACTGGCCAGAACCCAGTCCCTTGTTCCCACTGTAACTGCAAGGGATGCTGGGAATTTAATGTTCTCATGTGCCCAGAGGAACATGAACATGGTTTGAGGAACGCATGGCACCGTTTGGGCCATAGTCAGCTTGTTTGGATACGTGACTGGATGACAAGTAGCTAGAACGGAACCTGTGTAAAGTTAACGCTAGGTGTTTATGAGCTAAACATACATGCTCTTCTGCAATGCCTTCCCTCCTTTCTGTCGATCTAGACCTTGTCCTGAGGTTCTGCTTTTTCATGAAGCCTTCCAATATGGCAGTGTATTTTAGAGCTTGGACTTTGGAACCAAAAGGCATGAGTTAAACCCCAGCCTCCGCATTTTCTGGGGGTAATCTGGAATAAATTAGCCCTTCTACTCCTGTTTCCTTTTCACATATACTTCACAAGAAAATATCATGAATAATAATATAAATTTAAAAAGCATTCAGATCACTTTGGTGGTCGTGACGTCTTATTTTTCTGGCTTTAATTTTACTGAGCAACCCAGTGAAGCTCAGCAAGTCAGGGGTGCATCTGGGCCTGGTCTGCACTGGACGCTCCAATTCTCCATCCACTAGAATCTTACAATTTCTAGAACTAAAGGGAAGTTCAGTGGTCACCCATCCCAACCTCCTCACTTTACAAAAGAAGAAACTGAGACACGGAGAGGATGCTTGAGTGTGCACACACACAGTCACACTGTGGGTTAGTGGCGGAGCTGGAGGCGTGTCTCACACCTCCTGATGGCATGTCTGTCAGCACGGGGCTCCTCTCTCCAGCATGGCCTTTCCCTTTTCCAGTCTTGTTACTTGAGCAAGACTGAAATGAAGACTCTATGGTTCTATTCCACGGCTCAGAGGAAAGCCTGCTCACTTCATTAGGTTGCGGGTCCCCACACAATTCAGTGTGGATACTTGTCCGTGTTCTAACCACGGAGACTGTCCTAGCTACAGAACCTGTGGTTTAAACATGTCGGTTTTACAGAGATGTTGCTGCAGCTCAATGAGAGGTGATAAAGACATAGGTAATTGCTGTAGAATTATACTGCTGCCAAGAAGATGATTGAACTCCCACACAGAAGGTGAACAGATGGTATATTTATTGAAATTCATAGGCTGTGAGATGGAATAATGTAACTGATGGCGGGGCACCCTCCTTCCAGCTTGAGGGAGGCTCACAGAAGGACGAGTGCGCCACTAGGTGGCGTGCTCATCTAGGGCCCAGTGAGTGTCTTCTCTCAGAAAGGGAGGCCCGGAGTCTGCGCACACTGAAGAATCACTTCAGTTCATGTCCTGATTGGGAGTCCAAACCTTCCCCGTGGCTGAGGAGGAAACTACCATTTTTTTAAAACTTAAAGTCACTTTATTTATAAGTAAATATATATCACTAGGAACTTTTGCCTGGAGAAAAAGCAGTCCAATGACAGGGTATTAAATCACTAAAGAGATGGGGCCAGGGCTTAGAGGGGGGCACTGTCTGGACCAGGAGTAGCTGTGGGTTCCAATAATCGCTCTTTTATTGGCCCATCTGGGCCTAATGACGTCTCCTCCCTGCCCGCTGCCTCCCTCCTGTGCCTTGCCCACTGCTTGCAGTGCGAAATAGAAAAACCATGGCTCTAGAAGCCTCCTTTTGGAAGTTGATATAGCTAATAACATCAAGCAGAGGAAGAATAAAGGAATCCATTGTGAACTAGTATGGAGGGATGGAGGGAATTATAAGACAGAAAAGGTGAGTTGATAACAAGTTAGCCAGTGATGGCTTACCTATCCTTATCTCTGTTGTCTTAGTAATTAATGTTTTAAAGGGTCCTTCCCTAACTTTGGTTCCCAAATCCAGAGCACTGAAAAGCTTTGTCAGCGACTTTGGGGTGCCTACACCCTTCTGATTTTAGGTGGGAACCACTTCCTGTTTATGTTTGATTTCATAAATGAGCCCATTCATCCACTCAACAAGTGTTCATTGAGTCTGTCTTTGTTCAAGCTTTTATCTTTTTCTTGTGTCTCAGTTTTTTCTTCTGTAAAATGCAGATAAATACCAATCTCCTAGGGCTGTTATAAGGATTAAGTGAGCACTTTTATGTAAAATACTTAAAACAAAGTCTAGCAAATAGAAAGCACTCAATAAATGTTAGCTGCTATTTACTACTGCTACTGCCACCACCACCACTACCTTCTACTATATTACTACTACTGTTACTATGAGCACCACTACTGTATTACTACTACTATTACTATATTATTACTGCTATGGTTATTACTGCGTTACTATTGTTACTCCTACTACTATATAACTTCTACTCTTAATTTGGATTTTTGAGCGCCTATTTCTCCTAATTTCAGGAAATATCTAGTCAATTTAAGGTAAATTTATTCTCTTTTGGATTTTTAGGTAAATAGTTAATTTGGAAAATTCCCTTTCTACACTTTTCTTTTCCTCAGAGCACAAGCTAACCATGTGGGGTTTCCATCCAACCCTGCAGTGGGGGCAGGTCCATAGTTATCCCCCGTCTGCACTGGGGTACCTTGTCTTTATTTCAGTTGGTTCTTTGGCCCTTGTCCTTACACATCTCTAAAGTCTGGGCTGGCCTCTTCTGAGCCATTTTTGGGCCAGGTGGAGGATGGGATGGGCAGACACCAATGAGAAAATTTCAGATGTTCTCTGGCCTCCTGCTGACCTCACGCTTTGTGAGGCTGAGTTCAGGCTTCTTGCCCTAGCACTTGCCAGGACCAAGTTGGACCAGACGTCTTCCTGCAAGGCCCACAGGCTCCCTGGGCTATACCTAGGAAGTGAGGCACAAACCCCTTTGTCCTGGGGTCCCCCAAACTTATGGGAGGTTTTATAATTCCCTGCTTCATCTCTGCATTTCCACCCACCAGCCCCCAGCACAAATATAACACCCTTCAAATTTTAGTCTTTTTTTTCTTTCCCAACTACTCAAATTAAAACTCATCATTCATGGAGGAAAATCAAGTGTGGAGCAGGAAAACACTCTTTTTTTTTTTTTTTTTGGTGGGAAGAGCATTACAAGGAGGATAGGTTCTTGAGCATTTCCTCTGAAATCACACATGGAGGTGACCAGTGAGGGCTCAAGAATATTGTCAGTCACAAGCACCATGAACCTCGACAATTGTTCTGGAACAAAATTCTTAGATATGGACAACTTATCAATTCAAAATGAAAATGGTGGTAAGGCTAGAATGAATAAATGAGAATTCTGGACTATAGACTGTACAAAGAAATACAGTTTCTTTGACTGAATACAGGCCCATTCAACATAGGCTGGTAAAATACTGTCAACAGGGACTCTGTCATGCTTTTAACGAATAAATAAGAATGAGTTTCCACTTAGAGACTTTGTGCTTGAAAATAGTTTGTTTTATGCAATTTATGGTCATCTTAAAATTTTATATTATTTCTAAAGAAATATGTAAACTCTAGCCCCCTACTTATCATATATTGAAAAAGAGATGGATTAATAAAGTTTACTGTCATGAATTACTTGGGACCAGAATTAGTTGTTTGTTAGAATTGAAATTTATTCTATTAGATTGTGATGATCTAAGTCAGAAGTCAACAAACTACAGCCTGTGGGCCAAGTGTAATCCGCTGCCTGCTTTGTATAACTTAAGAGCAAAGAATAGTTTTTACAGTCTCAAATGGTTGAAAAAAAATCAAAATAATATTTCATGACATGTGAACATTATGTGAAATTCAAATTTCAGTGTCTATGAATAAAGTTTTATTGGAACACAGCCATGCTCCTGTGGATTGTCTATGGCTGCTTTCATAGTACATTAGCCCGCAAAACTTAAAATATTTACTATTTGACCCTTTACAGAAAAAATCTGCTGACCCCTGGTGTAGGATGTAGAAGAGGAATTTAAGGGAGAGCAGTCTGTTTAGAATTTTCTTCATACTGTCTACAGGTAAGAGCAAACCAGCCCCACTGTGGAGGCGTTGATCTCAAGGAAAGCAGGAGGGAGAAGCTGTGCTTTTATCAAGTAGCGCGTGGTGTGTCAGTTCCACCCCTCATCTGCGGTTCCTAAAGCCTGCTGTTATTTTATGCCACCTGCATAACCTGATTTGCATCTTAAATGAATATCCAGCTACCACTTGGACTTTTTTCAGAATAAGGAGAATGGCTTTTATGAAGCCATCTGTAGATGAAAAATAAATAGCAGCTAACAGTCCTAGAATATGTGATTGAGGGAGCTAGCACACAGCAAAAGAGTCAAACAGCTGATTTGCTCCCCAAGTCAAGAAACTACTAAAGAGACTGCAGTATTGACAAGATAAGGGAGGCAGTTGGGAGCCATCTGGAAGATAAAGGGAAAATAAAAGCCACTTGAAAGCCATAGGCATACTTGGATCAGGGCCTGGGCATCCTGAATCTTCTGTGTCTTGGAGCTCTGGGTCTCCTCTCCTCCCAGGGCCTCGCAGGCTTTCTGAACAGTTGTGGACCTCCACCTCTTGTGGGGTTGCACTTGCTGCACTGGGGGCTTTCCTACAGATGCTCAAATCAAAGAGGGTTTCAACATCTGGACTCAAGTCCCATTTTTATGGTGCATTCATCTTAATGATATCAGAGGTTAATGATTGAATTAATCTTTTTTTTCCTTTCCCAAACCATTCCTAGCCACTGTTTACCCCCAGAGGAGTTGTCAGAAGCAAAGTGCAGAAAATGTGGCAGTTCTTAGCGTCTAAAAAGCAAAACAGAAGAGTGAAACAAGGATTGAAGAAGTAAATGTGATGAGTCGGAACAATTCTAGTTGAGTTCCTCCCTGACATTCTTCCTCTTGCATCCCATCCCAGTTCTCCTCCTTAAGCAGATGAAGACCTTTGGACCAGGAAAAGAGAGAGAGGAGCAGTAGGGAAGAAGCAAGAGAGACTTCTATTCCTCCCCTCTCTCTTCTCTTTCTCTCCTCTCTCCCTTCTTCTCTTCTCCTTCCTTCCTTCTCTCCTCCCCGCTCCTCCCCTTCCCCTCTCGTCTCTCTCCTACCTTCTCTTTTCTCTTGTCCCTCCTGTCCCTCCTGTGTCTTCTGTCCCTTTCCTCCCTCCTCTCTGCCTCCCTCCTGCTCTCTTCTCCCTCCTCTCTCCTCCCTTTCTCTCTGGATCTCCACTCTGTGCCCTATTCTTCTTGCTCCTCACCTCAAGCCAAGCCTTGGAGTTGTGGGGACATAATGATCACCCATCCCCTTTGATTTAGGGATAGAAGAATAGAGAGGGTCCATGCCTGGTATCTGGGTGAGATTCAAGGAGATGACTGATCTCTCGGAGGAATTCTGGTTGTCCTCATGGTGCTGTTATATAGTAGAACCAGCTGCTAGGTATGCCTCAGCTGGAGAAAGCCTCGGAGATCTCTGCAGATACCCAACAGTATCGCAGGGCATCCAAAAATTCCTCTGGCTCCATCCAATGGGGCACAGGCACCAAATGAAAGTATATGCCCGAGACCTGAAAGGGTCTTCCAGATAGCATACGGAGATATGTGTTGGCAAGACATGATGTGGACAGTCTCTGCCCATGGTGTGCCAACATCTCAGTGGATCACTAGCTCAGGGAGCCATTCAAGAAAGCACTACTCATTGCCCATGTCAAGGACTGAGTGAGATGAGTTATATCCTGAGAAGGAGGCCTTAGTCCTCCATGTGCACCACCTCCAAGGTGGCTTTGTCTAGAACTTAGGGGCAATTTCAGAGAGGAGAGAGGGACAAAGGGGAATACTTTTCTATTTAACTGAGTTTTATTTTTCATGTAGGGAAGAATAGAGTCAGAAATTAAATCGAGTTATAGGAAATAATGTTTCTTGCACACCAGAATTTGTGATTATAAAATTTGTACTAAATATAGTCACATTTATTAAATACTTGCTCTGTGCCAGGTATTGTACTAAATGACTTTCATTTTTTTCTCATTTAATTCTTTTAATGATTTTGTGAGACAAGTATTACTAATCCCATTCTACAGAGGAAGCTAAGGCTTTTAAAGGTGCATTAGTTAGCCTAAGGTCACACAGTCAGAAGGGATGGAGCTAGGATTTTGGGTGAGGCAGTAATGACTCTGGAGTCCCACCTGCTCCACATACCTAATACTTGAAGGTCGGATAGGCCCCCGTGGTAGGCCATTCAAATCTACTTAGCACAAAGCTGTTAGTGAAGCAATCATTTCCTTTGACAAGGAAGCCTTCCTGGGCCTCTCTTCACGTGCCAGGTGCTCTGCCAGGCGTGGGATACAAAGTGAGTACCATGCACTTCCCTCCAGGGATGTAACGATCTGCCTACATTTGATTCCAACACATGGAAAGTGCTCAGTGTGGACTGGTTGAATGAATAAATTTGAAAGGTACAAAGCATCAGTAAGGAAAGGAATGTCTAATTTCGGATGTAGCATCAAGAATGTCGCAACCATGCTTGTAGAAAGAGAACTTGAAAGAATCAGAACACTGATTCTGGTAGAAATATAGATCTGACTTTAGAGTGGTCTCTGCCTAAGCAGTGCTGGAAGGCCTGTTGGTTAGAAACCTGATCCTAGTGAACGAAGTCCTAGGGAGCAAGGGACTCAGAGTGGAGAGATGGGCTGATCTGATCTGGGAAGGTTCCTTTATTCTTTTTTTTTTTAAAAGATTTTTTAATTTTTTTTCCTTTTTCTCCCCAAAGCCCCCCGGTACATAGTTGTATGTTCTTCGTTGTGGGTCCTTCCAGTTGTGGCATGTGGGACGTCGCCTCAGCGTGGTTTGATAAGCAGTGCCATGTCTGCACCCAGGACTCAAACCAATGAAACACTGGGCCGCCTGCAGTGGAGCATGCGAACTTAACCACTCGGCCATGGGGCCAGCCCCAAGGTTCCTTTATTCTTAACATCAGTGATGAGGTGCTGATGAGGGAAATCAGAGTCAGTGGATCTCCCAGGGTGCAACTGTATTCAGATGACAGAACTCATTTCTGAAAGCAGCACCCCTTTCTTGGTGTCCACAAAACTAAAAAAGGGATTAATAAAATGATTGATGTAGGTAGGAAATCTAGGTCACATTACGACTTCTGTTATCACATATCACACACTCTGTTGAATACAGGATATACAGCGAGGCTTCAGTTTCCTCTAAGAAAAAGAAGAAAGAGCTGGTTCCGGCATCATGCCTGGGATTCCCTGTGCCTCAGAGGCCATGTAGTCAGTTTTTCAGTTTCCGTGATGTTATGAAGTTTGTGTTGTTGATAATCACTTCATGCTTAGGTCAAACTACTACAAAAAGCCTTGAGTGCTGGCTTTCTCTGGTTTGAGTCTTCAGTCTTGGAAATGTAGTGTGTGGAGCTAAGTTTTTTATCTCTGGATTAAGAACATAAGCGGCTGACTTGCCCCCTTGTAGAGGTGCCTGGTTGGAGTGTGTCTCTGTCACCAAAAAGTACTCTTCTCCATTGTTGTGTGGTCGTTTGAGTGACTGGCGGACGCTATGAGCCCACAGTTGTAGTGATTTCAGATAAGAGGAGCTAGTAGGGAAAGAACTCTGTGTGCCCTTCGAGTGCCGGCGCGTGAACAGGTGGAGCACGTCGGGCCTTTGGGAAGGCTCACTGACATGCTGCATTCTTCTCTCTGGGCCTCCGAAGGTGGACTGACAGAAGCTTTGGCCCACTTTTGTCACGTGTATTATATTTATGAATTTTTCCCTTTGTCTTTTCTTTCCTATATCTCATTACTATAATTAGCAGCTCCTAATCATAATTCACTTGAATATGCAGGACCACTGGGAGGTTAGAAACATAGCAATTATTGAAAGAGGGAGATGATTAAAATTCACTTACAGGAGATGAAGGAATAATCATGAACACATTTTCTTAGGTCGCCTAAGACTTGTGATGCCATCTAATTGCTTCTCTTACACTTGGGGTCAAAGTAGAGTACCATGTATTTACTTATCAAGCACTTTGAAAACCTCTCTTTTACATTTCTTCCTTGTTACTTCAACAACCTAATGTGGGGGACCTACCAGCACTGATTTATGCCCTAAGGCCATAAAGATGAATGAAACCCAGTACTATTCTCAGATGCCTAAAATTCCATCCAAATCGTCCCTTTAGCTTAAAATCTTAATTCTGCTAACAAATCTTCTTTGGTAAGCCCTAAGCTGTTATCAAGTATTAACACCTTTATGTGAATGAGTTTTGTGAGTAGGGATGTTAGCTATCCTCCAGAGATTCATACTCTCACTTTAGTGTAGAGTTGTTGCTGGGAAGTGGCTGTCTGGGCAGGAATTACATTTCTTAGCCCTTCTTGCATCTTTCTGGGGTCATATGACTGAATTCTGGCCACTGAATATGGATGGAAGTGATGTAAACTGCTTCTAGGCCTTGCCTATGACAGACAACCTTCTGTGTAGCTATCTACGTGCCTCTTTCTCTACCTGCTAGCTGACTGTCCACATCTGGGTCTCCTTGGAAGTCAAGAATTGACGACAGCAGGGTCTTCATCAATGTAGCCTCCTGAGTAACTACGTGGAACAGCTCCCCTCCTCTTCTACCCTCTGCTGCAATTAGACTTCCATTGTGGTAAGCCACTGAGAATTGAGGTTCGTCTCTTACCACATCTAGTGCTACCCTAACTAGTAAAGTGGTAAAACACTCTTAAAAGTATATTTTGATAGATAACTTGAGACAGCCAACTTCCGTAGTGAAAAGGGGAGGGGCTTGTGGCTAGGGCTGAAGGTAGAGGAGATCTACAGTGGCAAGCAGTGGCCACAAAATAAGTTTCCTCACCTAATTATTCTGGTTAGGACTGTGTACTGCTTGCAGCATATTGGTTAAAAGGGATTTCTCACTGAGTTAACATTTAAGATTCTTCTCCCACTCTTCAGCTTTCTTATTGTAATGTTTTCCTTCTCTTATTTTCATAGCCTAGAGCGAATATTTGTAAATCGTCTCCTGTTGTTCTAAGC